AAGTTCCCCCTAACAATGTTATCTCAGGAGATTTATCGAAACCAAGTTTCTCTTCGTATCTACTATACCAAGTGAACCCGGATTTCCATAGGTCACATAATATTAGATTATTGTGAGAACAAACAACCTGGTAGATATTACCAGAATTTCCGTTTCTCTGCAGTCGTTTAATATCATTATGAAGTTCAGTTTAGCACAGCCTACCAGGCATCTTCCTTATGCTTGAGTGAACGAGGTTTGAGCCTTCTTCTATAGTACCAATTTACAGCCCTCGTTAGAGATGAATGTTATGCTTGCACGAACTTCAGGCGGGCCTTTATTCCATAGAATTTATCGGCTCCCAATCACATTCTACACATACACAAAACAACACCAAAACATTGGTATAAAGGGAAATACAGAATGATTTTGAAATATCCTCCTCATGACAATCTAACTAATATGACTCATTTCCATTTCGAGTGAAAGTGTTTGGTGAAGAGATTCGAAGGTCGATCGCACCAGAAGACTGCGGCAGATTCCTCTTGATCAGCTGTCGATTGGCTTTACTGGAACATTCTTGTTGGCGCTGTTTCCGAAGTAATCTCCTGAGATTCCCGTTAAGACGTGCTGAGCTTTAGTCCGTCCTATGACGAACATCATTAGAGCAGAGTATCATCCAATCGAAGGAGATTACCGTCGTCTTCTGGTTTAATAGACCTTCGAATCTCTTCACCAAATGCTTTCTATCGAAATGGAAGTAAGCTCAACAATTATGAAATAAACAGATTCCTCGAAACACAACTTTTCTTCGCATAATTAATTTGATTTTTGTGAACGTATATATGCAGATTGATAAAACAAAATATGATGATCCTGTGTAATTTAAATAGATTTTAAGATCAAGGCCATCAAGGATTGATGCTTCAAGGAGAGTCATGAATGTGATTACACAATCCCGTATTTATGTCTAAATGAGCAGATGAGCACGGTAGAACGGGTTGGAAAATAGATGGAACTCTATATTTGACTAGTTAAGTCGCATTCCTTTTGCAGTTTGCATATCACATAATCTATCCTTAAGTCCATCAATCTGACGTAATTAATTTTAAGTGTTGGTTCGAACTCGTTTCCGTATCTTGGTCGAAGCGTCAGGGAGACGTGGTGGAGTATACCTAATCATATGTCCTCTGCCATAGTATTCGTTATGTCCAGCATTCGACCAATGACTTGGTACATTAGCACAGAGTTACAAATTATCAAAGTGTCAAGTGAATGCAATCCCCTTGACAACCGTTGGGGTATCATTCTTCACCCCTATTTTTTGTCCTATCTTCTAGTGCTGCATCTCTTTCTCTCAACCCCACTTCATATGGCCCATCGACCTATTCGCACTATTCTCTGCTCTCGTTTCCTCCCATGTCGCCTAAGAGTGTGTCGCATATTTTGCTGATCTAACCTTTGACGAACAGGGCAACAAGACTCACAACATGTACAAATAATATTGTAGCAGCTGGATATGGACAATAGTTAGAATTTCTCACTAAAAGAAAGCGTCGGATTTCGTTGAGATTATTTATATTCCCCTCTTAATATCATTCAGCCTTATTCATTTATGCTTATTCCTTTCTAACTAAATATTATTTTTAATCATGTCAACACTTGGCTTTCACTGCTTATCAATTTCTCCAACGAGAGGATTTCAATCTATTTATCCAATACTACTTATAATATTGATGCATGCTAAAATGGTATAAACTAAGCAAGACAGGAATATCAGTAATGACACTTTGTTTTAATGAGCTCGTAAAATGAGATTTTTTTCTTAAGTGATAATCTAAAACCAATGCGTCTAAAAAAGTGGGTCACTATGACTTTGGTGCCACGCCAAGAAATTTCCATAGTAAATCTTTAAGAGGGCATCCAAATTAAGGTCGGCGATAAAGTGCACACTCTGAAGTTTTGGGAAGACAGGAGACAGACTGTGTCCAACAATTTCAGTTTGTTGTATGAAGACGCGCTTTCTCACCGATTGCCCAACACATTTAATGGTCGAGGCGACTTTTATTTCGTATTAAATTGCATGAATAAGAGATCCGAAGGCGGTTGATTCCCGTTGTACTGCAGCCGTTTTATTTTAATGCTACGTTCAGGTTGACGCAGTCCACGTGACATCCTCCCTCGTTTTGAGTGAAAACGAGCTGAGCTTTCGCCCATCATATGACCGATATCATCAGAGCTGAACTTCATTCTTGTGAAAGTCTCAAGGTTGGCCGAAATTAGAGATCTATCTATGCTTATACATTTTCCTTTTTTATTGTGATTATATATAAAGGGTAAGATATAGCCTGAGAGTCTTCTTCACTTCGTATTAGCGTGAGATATTAACAAGAATGAGTTCCAGCTTCGATGATGTCCATCATATTCTGGACAAAAGCTCAGACCGTTTTCACCCGAAGCGAGGGAGGATGTCTCGCGGATTGTAGTGCAACGGGATTCAGCCGCAGTTTTCTGGTGAGATCGATCTTCCAATCTCTTCTTCATGAACTTTTATGCAAAATGAACGCCTTATAACAATTTTTGTTTATGGGATTAATCAAAACCCAGTTTCTTTTCGTATCTACAATTCATAGTTACGTGATGTGCTAAATACAAATGCAAAATATCTCTATAACCGAAATGAACCATTTATGATCTATTTGTTGCACAATTCTTGTTCCGTTGTGTAGACTTTAGAAGATATTCGTTACCTCATACTTGATCTCATAATTTCAGTGCGCATGCAGGACTATTTCCATGCAAATCGTGAACTCTATCGTGAAACGCGATGTTCTCTTCACCGGTTCATACCCCATTGCCATTCTCCCCATCAGTTAATTGCTCTCTACCTTGCCCTCTTATACTAGACCCACTCTCCGATAGATAGACACATGTGGTTATTCTACATGTGCCTACATGCGCGTCTCTAGGCCGTCCGAAGGGCTTGCATTCCACATCTCTATCCACAATCAACTGATGAACTATTTCGCCAGTGCAGGGCCAATTCGCACGCTTGTGGTATTTATTTGCGTCTGCGTGTCTCTATGCCTTTCGATGAATAGCTGTATGTGCATGTGTGTGTGTGTGTGTGTGTGTATGTGAATAGGTAGGTATTGGCCTCACTTTGTTTGTGCATGCTTGCCTTTATGTGTAGAGGTTTGTAGATCGAAATAAGAGCGAATGAGGCAACCTGAGGTAATTTGTGTGTATGTATGTGTGTGTGTGTGTGTGTATGTGTGTGTGTATGTGTTGGTGTGTTTTCGTATAGTCTTGCGTTTGTGGCGTCGAGCAGGTGTGGCGTGCAGACGGGCGTCGGCGAACGGTAGCTACGGCGAGACCGATTAAGCGCTTGGACCGCTGCTTGACCAGTCGGCAGCAACACGTCTGGCGAGCCTGAGAGGCCGACTTGTGCTCACTAATGCTCGAGCGTTCACTGGTCGTCCGTGTCGCGAAACCGCGGGTTGCGCCTGAATGAATGCCCACCGGAGAGCCGGAGGTCACGGGAACCGGTTGCCTGGGGAGACGGTGTCGACGGTGTCGAGCTCGACTGTACCGACTGCAGAGGAGACAGCCGATCGACAAGCCGGATCACTCGTAAGCCACCGGGGACCAGTCGTCGAGGTGACTCTGATGGGCATTTTAGGCGGTTCCAGAAGAGGCTTTTGAAGAGGGGCCCACGGAGGTACCACCAAGAAGGTCCTTTAGGGGCCAATACTAGCCCGAGTTCGATCGGCTGTAGCTGCCCCATTGTGTGTGTGTGTGTGTCCTACTTCGGTTGAGGCTTGCCGGAGCCCAGGGCCAATGGGAGTCAAGGTAGC